GATCCATGGATTATACCCAGAGTTGTCTCTATCAGGAACTGGAAGCTGGAGTATTTATATACCACATTTCCAGTCCTTGGTAAGGGTGGCCCAGGGGCACATGAGTTCTCAGGCACTGCAGGGTTCTGGCAGCCTTCATGCGTTCTCCAGAAGGGTTGCATGCTGGCCCCTGGAGTGGATGCACCCAAGAGCCCCGTGCATGAAATGTTAGAGGACAATGTCAAAGGGATACGACAGGACACTGGCAGGAGAGAATGGGAGGAGGGGGACTTAGTTGAGCCCAGGGCTGCGACCTTCGCGTAGCAGGGCTCAAACCCTAGAGGGCCAGAGAGACACTGGCTGGCCACCCTGCCCCACTCCCTTGCCAGTGCCACCAGCGATTGAACTTGACCAAGCACCCTTTGACATCCAGTTCCCAGTGATAAAGGATGGTTTCGTAGGCTGGGGGTAGATTTCAGTGCAAAAGGGCCATTTCCTGACTTTTATTGCCATTATGTCATTTGTTTCTTTGCTAACTTGTACATTCAGTTTTAAGTTTTGTGTAGGCAACTGTATTAATTTAAAAATTACTACTTTGCTTTATTTCTTACTTGTGCTTGATTTTATTTCCTGGTGACTTTTCTTTTATTTAAAATTTTTAATTTAAATCTTTAATCCATCCTTGGGAGGGGAGATATTATGCTATACAATATAAATTGTAGAAAAGAGGAATTTTTCTTTATATTGTACCGCAAGACTATTAACTAAAAATCCTTGCTGACATCCTGGGCTGCTGATTGATTTCCTTAGATATTAAATTCTTATATAACATTAGATCTGTCTCTGAACTTCAATCTGTTTCACTGCTCCCTATTTCCCTTTTTGTTCCTGTGTCATATCATGCCGATTAGTTGTTCTATAATCTATTTTCATATCTACTGAGTCTGGACAGGCCAAGAGTCCTCACTCATTCTATCCCTTTCTTATGCTTTCTACCGATGTCTATCCAGGACATTTAGAGTCATTTTTGCTGAAATCTATACAAATTTATGATGGGATTTTGACAAAGATTAGATTTTTTTTTTCAGTTGATAGATGAGGAAACTGAGGCCAAAGAGATAAGGTGCCTCTCCCAGGAAGTAGGTCATGATGCTGAGAACAGAGAATTTACTGGCTTTGGGACCCCCTCTCTCCACTCATCACAGTGGAGGAAGAGGAGCTTAATCCCCCTGCTGCCACTTCTGGACCTTATGTTCTTGATTAAATACAGGAAACGGGGCGAACTAAATGTATAGAGACAGTCAGTATGGAGAAGGTTCTAGAAGGACCTATGTAGATAAAGTAAAGGGTGTGAAGGACTTATAGAGAGTGAAGATCAAGTATGAAGGAGTGTCATTGCCAGCAGCAACATTAAGTCTTCTCTCTCCCCCAGGATCTCTCTGATCAGCATTGTTGTTTTCGTGGTGTGTGGAATCCTGAGTAAGAGCCTGGTCTTCACCATCCTGTTGGTTGTCACTCAGAGGTCATTTGGACCCTAGGTCCATGAACCCACAAGAATGATCTGTGACCTTCATGCATGCCTATCTGGCAGTTGAGACAGAAGAAGACTGTGAAGGGGAAGGAAAGGAGTGAGACGATGACTGAGTTGAATTTGTAACACAGGTTATTTATAAGGCTCAGGGTCCTACCTTCTTGGCCCTGCTAACTCCCCTCGTTTCACTAATAAACTTGGGTGTGTGCTTTATTCCATCAGAATAGAAGATACAGCCCCTAACATACCCTGAGCCTCCATTCCATCAGTGGTTCAGGGTTTGCATTAAATAAAGACATAGTCTAATGCTTTTCACTGTCACTGTCTTGAGGGGGTCATGAGGTATAGAGGGCACAGCTACAAAATCTGTCTTGGTCCCTGCCCTGGACCATAGTATTTTGGCCTGACCTGTACAAAGCTCCACTACAGAAAAATTCTGCTCTCCCACCACTGGGAATTTCCTTTCTCTAGAATCAGACTCTTCATCTCCCTTCATCTGTCACCCTTTCCAACACTCCCAGTAAAGGGTGTTGAAAACTATAAAATGAGAAGAAGACCCGATGCCACAATGAGAATTCCATATTTGGGAAAGAGAAATCAAGTTAATCAGAATGCTGCCTCCTGGGGACATACTGGGAGAGTGAGAGAGGATTCAAAGTATAGGACTGATAGAGAATATCATTTGTCTATTGTGTGCTTCATCACTGGATCCTCGGAACAATCCCACGAAGGCAGAGAAGTGTGTGACTAGAATGAGGCCACATGAGTAGTAGTAAGTCACCACTTACTGGCAGGAACAAAAACTAAAGAGGTCTTTTAGTAAAGACTAAGTCCCTCAAAGCCAGGAGTTCTGCCTATAATGCCTTTAAATGCCTCTTTCTCTTGTATCACACATGGAGCAGGGATAGTCTCTTATGTTCACTCCTAGTTCCCTACTCTGTCTTCTGCTTCTATAACTCCCCTTCAGCTCCCATGATCACCCACGAAATAGGTGTCCAGACCCACCCGTGTCTTGCAAATGCCAACAGATTTAAATCAGAGTGTTTTGATTTCCCACCTCTTTTGGCTCTAAAGGAGAAGGGTCCTCATTATCAAGAGAAGATAATAGGTCCTTCTATTCCAATTCAGGAATGGCCAAGGCCAATTTCATCCTAAATTCCCCAAGAACAAATACACTTTACCACACGCTATCCTCTTGTTAGAAAAACATATTCCTATAACCAGCATGACTTTCCCCAATCCTGAGATGAAAGGTACCTGAGTGCTAAGGTAGAGTTCCCCCTCTCTCCTGTCCTGATCCCACTGCAATCATATAAAACCTTCCTTATCAATCTGAGAGCAACTGCTCTGTCTGAACCCTTCAGAGGGATGGCACTAAACCCAGAGAAATTAGCTCTGATTTCCCAATTTTGAGTCTGTTAGATGTGTGGAGAGAACTCACATGATTTCTAAATGTGTGAGAAGCACTTGTTCCAGAAACTGTTCTCAGTGCACCTGTTTTCCTGCCTAAGAGAACTGAGCAGCTCAGAGGCAGTAACTACATGACATTCAGTGTTTGCTTTCTGAGGTTGCTGGTCTGAGGCCTGGAGTTTAGCAATTTCAATGTTGCCCTTGTTCATGAGGTTGACAAAAAAAGACCAGGGGCAAGGGAGGTACCATTGTGAAATGCTATCTAGGAGAGGCAGAACACGTTAGGGCAGTGTTTCTTAAACTGTTGTTCTTAGACCACTCGCTTCAGAGTCTCCCGGGGGATTAGTTTAAAATGCAAATTCCAGGGGCCCCTCCAGACTTACTGAATCATAGCAGGTAGCAATCAGTGCTTCTCAAGCTTGCTTGGGAGTTAGAGTTCCGAGGAGTCATCATGCTCCTTACCAAACACCACAATACAGTCATAGTAGATGTAACCAACTGCTTGAGGTAGTGTGCTTGTATGCTTAACTTAGTTATAGATTAAGTAGAGTTTAAGTCCAATATATTAAACTTGCCTGAGAAATTATACACAAAATTGGAAGACAAATGGTTGAGCTGGATGCTTTCCCATTTGCACTTGCAGGCCTACTCTTCATCCTTTTCCTTCCTGCTCTGTGCCTGGGAACCTGACCAACGTTGGCTAAGTCAACAGACTCCCTTGCCCACCAGCTTCTGGTTGGGTTTAGCCACTGGGCAGTATGAAAGCAGAGCAGAGGATGGAAAGAGATTGAAGGAAGGGTTTTTACCTCTGGGCTCCCTCTCTGTGAAGTGGCTGCCTTTCTCTACTGGAGGCCTCTTCAAGTTCCTCACCCAACAGCTACTATCTCCAAGTTTGGGCAACTGCTCCATCCCCTTGCACCATTAGGCCCAGAGGTAATAATAACTCACCACTATCACTGGCCTCAGGATACTGTGGCATTCCTTAATGGTTTCCCCAATTCTGCCACACTTTTATCAAATGCTTTGCAATTACCCAGTTTCAGTGAGCCACCTGTTTCTTGCTAAGACCTTCAATGATATAATAGTATTATGTGGTTAATTACACAGGCCTTGGAACTAAACAACAGCCAGTTTTGAATCCCACCTCTATAACATCCTTGAAATGTGTCTGATCTCGAGTGACTCGGTTAATTTCTCTAGCCCTCATCCTGGAAATATTCTTCATTGCCTCATGGGCATAATAACCAATACTGGTCATAATTCTTGATGCCAACAACTGAATCCAATTCTGGCTATCTTTAACAGCAAAGAAATTTAGAAGGAAGTCAGTAGCTCATAGAGTTGATGAGAAGGCTGAAAGACCAGGTTTTGAAAACAGTAGAAACCAAGAGAGAATGGAGAGTAGAGTCCACGGATGAGGTTATTTCATGAGACAGTCAGGTGATGAACTTGCCATTGATGTTACTGCCCCTGTACACTTGAAGCCACCAGTACTTGCCACCATACCATTCCTGGACTCTCAATGCTTAAACTGCGTCTGTGCAGTCATCTCCAACTGGCCCTGCATTTTGTGTCACACCCTCAGGATCCAGAATTCTGGGAAGACTCACGTATTTGGCCAAGTTTAGGTCAAATCATATGCCTGTACCATAGATACCAGGGAAAAGGGGCATACTCAATAGAAAGGGAAGTTGAGCTCTGCATCTTAGTGAGACCCACACTTTGGGGCATATCCCCCAAACAGAAAAGGCATTGGGTGCTAGAGACCTAAAAGATGACAAATATTCATTATACAACCTCCCAAAGCTGATAGAATTAAATAAGATAACCTGAGTAAAGCACTTGGCACATAATAGACCTTCATTCCATGGTAGTTACTCCCAGTACCATTTTAATTGTGGTCTCGATGCCTAGACTGGGGGCTTAGGGAAGCACACACCTTGTACACAGGCAGAGAACCCTAGGAACGCCTTGAGGCCTTGGGGTCCATTTGACCTCATATAGAGCTTTTATAGGCATTGTCTATTTGGACCACTTGCCTCAGAAGCAACTGGGTTGCTTGTTAAAATGCAAATCTCAGCAACTGGTCAAGATGGCCTAGAAGGTGGAGGCCGTGGACGCCTCCTCTCATGACCATACCACAATTATAGCAAAACTACAGAGCAATCATCATGCAAAGTCACCTGAGGTCTGGCTGAACATAAGCCCTACAACTAGGGACAAAAATAAGAAGTAACCTTCAACCAGTAGGAGGGATGCAAGATGGGCCAAACCCACAACCATGTGTGGTGATTGAGAACTGGAAGGTTATCTTGGCTGCAGAGCCTCTCCTCAACCTGAGGACCGAGGAGTCCTGGCCCCACACTGGGCACCCCAGCCCAGGGTTCCAAAGCTAGGAAGAGAAGTCTCCACAATCTCTGGCTGTGAAAACTAGCAAGATTATGGATGAGTGAGATGGGGGGCTGCAGGAGTTATAGGCGTTCTTCTTAAAGGGCCCACACCTGGACTTACTCACTGACAGACTCACTTGCTCTGAGGCAGCTGCTTGAGGAGCCCCAGGGACATATGGAGAGACACTGGGTTGTCAGGCTTCAGGGCAAGGGCTGGAGGGGCAGCTTTCTCCTGGACAGAAGGGCTGGCTGTACCCTTTGTTCCTTTGTTGAGCCCTCCCCAATCCCAGTGTGCAAATGCAGGTGCTGCCATATCTGAGTCTCCATCAATTTGGATAACACAGGCTTATAGGTGCCTCGAGAACTCAAGGTAGGAACCGAGGTTGGCTGCCACTAGTGTGGGGCTTGGAGCTGGTCGGCAAGAGCGTACAGGGTACGCTGAGGCCAGATGCTGCTTCTTTGGGTTTTGTGAGTCTTTGAGAGATTTTAAGAAAGTCTGTAGCAAGAGCCAAGACAGGCCACTTGTATGGAATAAACCAGTGGAAGCGGCTTGGGTGAGCTCAAAAGTTGGGAGAGGTGGAGTCTCAGGGAATCACCTGGATGGAGCAACCTGTGTTATAAGGATGCTCAATGAACTTAGGGGAAGAGTAGATTAAACTCAATGAGAACTTTAACAAAGAGACAGAAAATATAAAAATAAATATAGAAAACATAAAAGGGAAGTAGTCGGAAATGAAGAATACGATACATGAGACGAAGAGTACAGTAGAAGGAGTCAACAGATTGGATGAAATGGAGGATCGAATCAGTGATTTAGAGAATGGGATAACCAAGGACACCCAATCAGAACAGCAACAAGTAAAAAGAATCCAAAAAATGAAGATAGTTTAAGAGGCCTCTGGGACAACATCAAGTATAACAACATTTGCATCATAGGACTATCTGAAGGAGATGAGAGAGAGCAAGAAATTGAAAACCTATTTGAAGAAATAATGACAGAAAATTTCCTGAACCTGGTGAAGGAAATAAATGTATAAACCCAGGAATTTCAGAGAGTCCCACCCAAGATGAATCCAAAAGGCCCACATCAAGATACATCATAATTAAAATGCCAAAGGTTAAATACAAAGAGAGAATCTTAAAAGCAGCAAGAGAAAAACAATTAGTTACCTACAAGGGAGCTCCCATAAGATTGTCAGATGATTTCTCAACAGAAACTTTGCAGGCAAGAAGGGTTTGGCACAAAATATTCAAAGTGATGAAAAGCAAGGACCTACAACCCAGATTACTCTATCCACGAAAGCTATCATTTAGAATCAAAGGACAGATAGTTTCCCAGACAAGAAAAAGCTAAAAGAGTTCGTTACTACCAAGCCAGTATTATGGGAAATGTTGGAGGAACTTCTTTAAGAAGAAGAAAAATACGCTCCAACAAAAAGATAGTATGGCTGAATGGATAAGAAAAC